TGAAGACCAAAGAAGGCAAATAAAAAAATTGTTGTCAGGAAAAACTTGAACTCTTATTTCTGTTAAGATTTTTAGCATTTTGTGCGACCGAGAGGTAAGCTTTAAAAATATGTTTCCGTTAAAAACGACTCAAAATTATGTCATTAAGCCGATAAAAAAAACAGGACAAAATCTTATGGGTAGATTAAAATTTTCAAACAAAAAAAATACAAAGTCAAGGTTAATAAAATTACAAGCAGCAGAGGTAAATCACAACATCAAAAGCAACTATAATGTAAAAAAAATGAAAAAATAAATTCTACAATAGGGCAACTAAGCCGACAAAACATAAGTCAAGGTAAGGTTAGTAAAGCTACAAACAGCAGAGGTAAATCACAACACTAAAAGTAACTATGAAAAGGAAAAAAACTAAAAAAAAACAATCAAATCTGCAGTATGGCAACTAACTAAGCCGACACAACATAAGCATACAATAAAAAGCCGACCATTTTTATGAAATTTTTCCAGTTTGAAAAAAAAAGCAGGTCCTGGCAGAGTCAACCCTAGGACGTTTGCCCTCCTAGGTGCATTCGTTGCCTCCAAACTAAGTGTGCGGTAGGCGTTAGAAATTGAAAATCTTTATGAACCCAGATACCAATTGATTCTTTTCACCAAGTTGTTAACGCAAAAAAAGTCTGGAATAGATATTTTAAAGTTTCAAAGCAAATTTAATTTTTTTTCTTTTCGATAATAATTGGTTAACATCCACTTTTGAAACTTTTTCTGAGACTATTAATTTTATTCGTAGGCCCAACAGTGTACCCAACCCCAACCACCGCGTTTACTTCCTGTCCCAAAATTTGACTTGACTGGCCTTACCGACCTTATGTAAGGCATGCAATGTCGACAGGTTATTGTTGGTATGAATTTGTTGCTGGCTCTGAGTTTTGTCGGCATACTTTCTTGTGTCTTGTTAGGATTCCCATCGATTGGGGTGTTGGCAAATTGGACACGTGCCTGGGCGTGACAGCTACATTTTCTTCTCGTTTACCCCCTTCCCCTTCTCCATAGTGAAAGTGGAGGGGATGGGGGTTGTTTGTTAAAAGCGGAGGATGGGGGTTGTTCGTTAAAAGCGGAGGATAGGGGTTGTTTGTTTAAAGCGGCGGACAAGGCGGTAAGCTCGGGAGCGGGGGACGGGCGGTAGATTGAGGAGATGGCTAGTGTAAACAGAAAACGTACGGCGTGGGGTTCTGGTGGGATTGCTTAACATGCGATGAATGTTTTCGTTTAGGATCGAATTTTGTTGAAAACTGCAAAAAGTAGAGTAGAAATTTCACAAAAAATGATAAAGTGGAGCTTTGCACTATTTGCGGTACAACAAAAAAATTATCAGGTCAGCTAACGAAAAAATAGGACGAAAGCGTGAGTCCACAATGTAAATTCAAAAAAGATTTGAAAGAACTTTTTATACGTTGTCTAGATTGCAGTTGAATTTGATGAAGTATAATGAGAAACACAATTGTCAGTATTACATCAGCATTAAAAAACAAAAATCATACAGCGGAAACTGAGCAGACAGAAGGCTGTTAAGCCTGAAAAAATTGAGATATACGTTATCTTGATCCACGAAAAATTCACGCCCAATGGATTATGGTGCTTCAAACAGCGATTTTAGACAGCTATAACATTAACCAAACCCATTTCAGCCAAAAAAAATTTTTAATGTGAAGTTTTTTTTTTTTACAAAATAAAGCAAAAAATGAAACTGAAATAAGTGTTGATTTACAACCAACATTGAAAATTCGAATGAAAAAACCATTTAAAATGCAGACAAGTTCAAAAATTTCGCTGGGTTCATTCTCTAAATTTGCCATGATTATCGATTATTTAGACAACATTTTTGCAACATTTTCTGATTGTCGTGAAAATTGACATGCAGACTAATTAGGCCATAGCAAGCATATATGGTCTTCATAATTAACCTTGTAAAACCACTCGTTAGACCATAAAATTTATGTTTGAGTGAGGTGGGGGGGGGGGGGGAAGAAAAAAGAGCCAAAGTTTCTTGCAAGAAAAGATCAAATATAACTCCATAAGAACAAAATTAATTTTGCGATCATGTGAGTTTATGACTCACTTGACTGTTCCAAATATTGCCAAAGCTAGTTGTTTTTTTTTTGTGGAGAGGGAGGTGTATTTTAGCAGAGGAAAGAAGACTGAAAAGAAAAAAGTCAATAATCAAACCACCAGTAATCAAATTTGAGAGTGCAAAAATTTTGAGATTTTTTCTGCAAAAAATTAAGCATTACACGATTTACATAAATGATGAACCATCTGCGTAATTAAAATTTAGAAAGATGTATAATCAAGCACACAGAAATTCTTCCTCTTTTATAGTCGACATATACTCAAAAAAATTACTCAATTTTAGAGGACTAAATTATACTGCTGAAGTTCTTTTCGCATGGAAATCTAATGTTGAAAATCTATTTTAAAATTAGGTCACTCGCGTGTTTTCGTGCATTTTACGACTAAATTCTTCATAATTTTTATTTGAGAGTTTTGTACCTAACTTTGTACCTCCCGAAGCAACCATTAGCAAATAGTAAGTGTTATTACTTTAGCTGCTTTTCGCAAATTTAATCAAAATACGGCAATTTTCTAAGTTTTTTGCAAGAAGTTGCAAACAATAAATATCTGAACTTTAAAAAAAATCACCCAATCCGGGAATCAAACTTCTGCCGTTAAGTAGATGCTTAACTAGAGTCAACCGCCTTCAAGAAAAGTTTACCAAAAATCAGTAAATTTGAAATCTGAATAGTTTTGAACTGAAATTTGAAAAACTACCAAATCTATGCTCTTTGAGTTTCGAGAATTGTTTATGATAGACTTTCTTCCTTAAAGTTAACCCAATTTAACCTAACTGGATAAATGGGTAGATTTTTCAAACCACTGGTAAACACACTACATATCATAAATTGTATGATATATACCGAAAAAGATTCCGGGTCTCATGTCCTTGTATCTGCGCCACGGTTGACTATAGACAAGCACTGGCTACAAAACAGCAGATTCAACTTCGTAATATGACACTTCGCATAAAATGCTTCAAAAAATGACTTTACGCTCGCTATTGCGCGGGTGTAATCAAAGCCCTATTTGATGTGATTAGAATAATGAAACATAGCAGTAGTTGAAAAAGAGTAAATTTCCGCAAGGAAGCAGAAAAATATCTGATTTGTTTTTAGAAAACTTCACCTTTCGATTTTTTTTAAAACTTTTATATTACACTAAAGCTTTTTCGATTTCGTGAGCAATATCTGATTGGTGTTTTTTCAAAAAAATAGTCCAACTTGAGCAAACGGGGGTTCAACTGGTAGATTTTTTAATTCCGCAGGAAAACCTATAATTTTATTCTCAGTTTAGAAAAAAGAATTCTATCACGCTTTTTCGCGACATTTCCTTGTTCGTTTTTGTCGTGTGATATTAACCTAACTTCTAGTAAATGAAATCCAATTGAACCCAAAAAGAGCATATATACCGAAGGGCATTCATAAATGCTTTAAAATACATGAATGCTCAATTGTAGTTATTAATATTTTACACACCACTTGCGATACAAAACGAGAAAGCCGATAATTAGGAAAACTCGAAAAAGCAAAACTGTCTGAAAAATTAGATTTATCAGATTGAAACAGGCCTATTTTGAAGGAAAGCATACCAAATAAACAGAATATGAACTTAGCATCGGAAGAAAAATTAGCAAGCGGTTACAAAGGCAAAAATAGCTTAGCAGCAGACCTGTAAGCCGGAAAATATCAGCATCACCTATAAAAATTTAAGAAGTCCTTAGACCCTCAAAACACACACATACAAGGTTTAATTTGTCAGATGAAGCAAATGAGGTCACTAGGCCACTGCAAAATGAGCCTAAAACTATTCAGCTGTAGAAAAGGGAAAAAAACAAAGTCCGGAACAAAAAAACACGAAAATTATATAGCTAATAAAATTTATCAAGTTCCCTCAGCCTCAAAACAAACACACGCTCACACAAAATTTAAGACGCAATATGTGACCATTAGGCCGATAACATAGGACGAAACCTATCAAGTCGAAGAAAAATGAAAAGGGAACAAGTTTTGCTGTCATGGAAAAAGTGAACTGTAGTTTCGAAAATCATTTAAGCTTTTTTTGCAATCGAAAAGTCAGCCTATAAACTTGTTTCCATTAAAATTACGCAAAACTAGGTCATTAAGCAAAAAAATATAAGCCGAATTCAAGTGAACAAAAAAAAACAGAAGAAAACATACGAACTCGAAATTAGTTAAACTACAAAAAGCAGAATTTAATCAAAACACTAAAAGCATCATTAATGTAAATTGCGTTCAGGAAAAAAACAATTCAGCGATGTGCAAACTAAACCGACAAAGCATAAGCAGACAAATAATGAGCCGACAATTTCTTTTGAAAAGAATTATTTCCAGTTTAAAAAACGTCCCATCAGATCCGAACCCACGACCTTTGTCGTCCCAGGCGTATTCGCTACCTCAAGACCAAATAGGCCTGAGACACATAAGCTGAACCGAAATTTACCATTTCTAATTTTGAATAATCTGCGAACAAAGTTATCTAACAGAAAAGTCTAGTACCCGATTGCAATACCCTTGCTTATCGCAAGGGTAAAGATTTTCCTGGAAAAAACTTTAGCGCAATCACCTAGACTTATATGAGAATCTTCACAGTGTTCATTTTGTTAAAAGAAAATACAAACAAAATTCTAAGCAATGAAAAAACCTGGTATGTATTCTTGGATTTCAGAATAGATAAGACAAAAACTGATGAGTGGCTGACACAACTACAATTTTACTATTGTTTCACTACATAAATTCTTAGGTTATTTTAGAGATGTTAATCCTCACTCTAGCATTTTTAAAATCTATTTCAGTACCCCTTTACCTAATAAACATCCGGAATCTAGAAAAAAGAATATCCTACTCAGGCACTGGGTAGTCAAGAAGGAGACATACACAAAATTGTATTAAGAAAATTAAGACATCAGCCTGTAACGCTCACTTGCTTATCACAATTACAAGTGAATAAACTTCCAATGCAAATCACAAGACTGCCAAATAACAAATAACATCAAGCTTGATTCATTATTCATCAAATTATCTTCAAAAATCCAATTGTTGCTTTCAATCAGAAGTCAGATAGGCATACAATGTGTTATCTAAAATTTCAAACTGTTTGATTCAAAGTTCAAATTATCAATATTCAAGTTCGTATTGCATTAGTTAGTCATCATTCAGAAATTGCACATTCAGACTCATCAAAAACTATTATTATTGCACACAATGAAGAGTAAGCTATGATAAAATACAATAAATATTTATCCAATGCATATCCACAATGCTTTCATGAGACATATAATCAAACGACAATTTTTTTCTCGAACACTTCTAAATGCATTTTTTTTCTTTTCAAATTATTACATACTTTATTCTAGAAATGTAGATTTCTATTGTCTGCAAAATTTTTGCTAGAACAATTAGGTGGTAAGAACCCAAGTACTTCTTTAAATCCATACTCCGACTGAATTCAATCAGGATCATAATGAAACAATCACTACAATTACCATCACAATAAACAGGTGGAACATTTTAGCATTCAGTAGCACTCAAAAACAAAGTATTTCTTGGCAAGATTAGCAAAAAAGCAACAGTTTTGCAAAAAAAATTAAGCACGATAAGCAACAGAATAGACAGCTTAGAGTCAGTTAGAGGATAGAGTTTGTTTTCTTACCAATTTGCAGTTTTAGTTCTGCTTAATTTACACCAGCAGTCTGAGGTTATCGCCAGTGATGGTGAAGAACTCTTCCTCCTGTAGTATTTTGAGAGCAGCAAGGTAGAGGTCTCTTCGGATGGGAAGCTCACGTTTAGAGTTCATCTGAAGCAACGGTATTATTGATCGACAATTTCAAAAGTGACTTTGTACTTGATTTCTTTAATGGTTATGTAATAGCCTTCATGCAAACATTAAAAAGACCTCAATTTTTTGGTAGGTTCAGTCCGCTTTTTACCTTTCGGTTGGTTACGATTTAAAACAAAAACATAGCCAACAGACAGCTGGAAAAGAGTCAAGGAACGCAAAGAAACAGAAAATTAAATTTGAAAAAAGGCCAAAAAAGTCAAAAAAGTGACTTTTCCTAAGTCTATAGCTCTTCCCCTAGACAAATTAGGGACAAGCCGTTTGTGTAGGGGGGTTCCTACAACCTGGTCTATCGATTAAACCCTTAATCCCAAATCTGGACGGGTAGTTTTTGAGGAAATCGGAAAGATTTGAAAAAAGGCCAAAAAAGTAAAAAAAAAAAGTGACTTTTCCTAAGTATATAGCTCTTCCCCTAGGCAAGTTAAGGACCAACCGCTTATGCGAGGGAGTTTCCTACAAGCTTGTTTATCGATTAAACCCTTAATTCCAAATCTGGATGGGTAGTTTTTGAGGAAATCGATAATTTCCGAAAAAATAGGCAAAAAAATCAAAAAAGTGACTTTTCCTAAGTCTATAGCGCTTCCCCTAAGCAAATTAGGGACCAGCCGCTTGGGCAGTGGAGTTTCCTACAACCTTGTCTATCGATTAAACCCTTAATTCCAAATCTGGATGGGTAGTTTTTGAGGAAATCGATAATTTCCGAAAAAATAGGCAAAAAAATCAAAAAAGTGACTTTTCCTAAGTCTATAGCTCTTCCCCTAAGCAAATTAGGGACCAGCCGCTTGGGCAGGGGAGTTTCTTACAACCTGGTCTATCGATTAAACCCTTAATCCCAAATCTGGATGGGTAGTTTTTGAAGAAATCGAAAAAGTTTGAAAAAATGGCCTAAAAACCGAAAAATTGACTATTCCTAAGTGTATAGCTCTTCCCCTAGACAAATAAGGGACAAGCCGTTTGTGTAGGGGGGGGGTTCCTACAACCTGGTCTATCGATTAAACCCTTAATCCCAAATCTGGACGTAGTTTTTGAGGAAATCGGAAAGATTTGAAAAAAGGCCAAAAAAGTCAAAAAAGTGACTTTTCCTAAGTCTATAGCTCTTCCCCAAGGCAAATTAGGGACCAGCCGCTTGTGCATGGGAGTTTCCTACAACATGGTCTATCGATTAAAGCCTTAATTCCAAATCTGGATGGGTAGTTTTTGAGGAAATCGATAATTTCCGAAAAAATAGGCAAAAAATTCAAAAAAGTGACTTTTCCGAAGTCTATAGCTCTTCCCCTAAGCAAATTAGGGACCAGCCGCTTGTGCATGGGAGTTTCCTACAACCTGGTCTATCGATTGAACCCTTAATCCCAAATCTGGACGGGTAGTTTTTGAGGAAATCGAAAATTTCCGAAAAAATGGGCAAAAAGTGAAAAAAGTACCGAGTTGTGAAGCTTTTCTAAGACCGTAGGGGGTGGGGTAGGGTAAAAATTGCCCTAAATTTTATGCAGGCAGGTAGGTGAAACGCTACTGAATCCATTGGTACCACTTTTATGAGAATCTGACGGGTAGTTTTTTGGGAGAGCGAATTTTTCGAAAAAGCGTCTCAAAAAAAAAAAAAAAAAAAAAAAAAAAAAAACCAGATCTCATCTGGAAAAAAAAACGTTTTCATAATACCTGTTTAATAAATCAAACTTGGGGCCCAGCTGAAAGCTGGAGAGACCTGTTTGATTATTTTAATATTGATTATTTTAAAAATGTTTTAAAATTTCAGGTTTCTCAAGTCGATAGCGCCCTTCCTACGCAAAAAAAAGTGAAAGAGAAGCTTATGCATTCATTATGCAAATCTGGATGGGTAGTTTTTGAAGAAATCGAAAAAGTTTGAAAAAATGGCCTAAAAAACCGAAAAATTGACTATTCCTAAGTGTATAGCTCTTCCCCTAGATAAATTAGGGACGAGCCGTTTGTGTAGGGGGGGGTTCCTACAACCTGGTCTATCGATTAAACCCTTAATCCCAAATCTGGACGGGTAGTTTTTGAGGAAATCGGAGAGATTTGAAAAAAGGCCAAAAAAGTCAAAAAAAAGACTTTTCCTTAGTCTATAGCTCTTCCCCTAGGCAAGTTAAGGACCAACCGCTTGTGCGAGGGAGTTTCCTACAACCTTGTCTATCGATTAAACCCTTAATTCCAAATCTGGATGGGTAGTTTTTGAGGAAATCGATAATTTCCGAAAAAATAGGCAAAAAATCAAAAAAGTGACTTTTCCTAAGTCTATAGCGCTTCCCCTAAGCAAATTAGGGACCAGCCGCTTGCGCAGGGGAGTTTCCTACAACCTTGTCTATCGATTAAACCCTTAATTCCAAATCTGGATGGGTAGTTTTTGAGGAAATCGATAATTTCCGAAAAAATAGGCAAAAAAATCAAGTCTATAGCTCTTCCCCTGAGCATATTAGGGACCAGCCGCTTGGGCAGGGGAGTTTCCTACAACCTGGTCTATCGATTAAACCCTTAATCCCAAATCTGGATGGGTAGTTTTTGAAGAAATCGAAAAAAATTGAAAAAATGGCCTAAAAACCGAAAAATTGACTATTCCTAAGTGTATAGCTCTTCCCCTAGACAAATTAGGGACAAGCCGTTTGTGCATGGGAGTTTCCTACAACCTGGTCTATCGATTAAACCCTTAATTCCAAATCTGGATGGGTAGTTTTTGAGGAACTCGATAATTTCCGAAAAAATAGGCAAAAAATTCAAAAAAGTTACTTTTCCTAAGTCTATAGCTCTTCCCCTAAGCAAATTAGGGACCAGCCGCTTGTGCATGGGAGTTTCCTACAACCTGGTCTATCGATTGAACCCTTAATCCCAAATCTGGACGGGTAGTTTTTGAGGAAATCGGAAAGATTTGAAAAAAGGCCAAAAAAGTCAAAAAAGTGACTTTTCCTAAGTCTATAGCTCTTCCCCTAGGCAAATTAGGGACCAGCCGCTTGTGCATGGGAGTTTCCTACAACCTGGTCTATCGATTAAACCCTTAATCCCAAATCTGGACGGGTAGTTTTTGAGGAAATCGGAAAGATTTGAAAAAAGGCCAAAAAAGTCAAAAAAGTGACTTTTCCTAAGTCTATAGCTCTTCCCCTAGGCAAATTAGGGACCAGCCGCTTGTGCATGGGAGTTTCCTACAACCTGGTCTATCGATTAAACCCTTAATTCCAAATCTGGATGGGTAGTTTTTGAGGAACTCGATAATTTCCGAAAAAATAGGCAAAAAATTCAAAAAAGTTACTTTTCCTAAGTCTATAGCTCTTCCCCTAAGCAAATTAGGGACCAGCCGCTTGTGCATGGGAGTTTCCTACAACCTGGTCTATCGATTGAACCCTTAATCCCAAATCTGGACGGGTAGTTTTTGAGGAAATCGAAAATTTCCGAAAAAATGGGCAAAAAGTGAAAAAAGTACCGAGTTGTGAAGCTTTTCTAAGACCGTAGGGGGTGGGGTAGGGTAAAAATTGCCCTAAATTTCATGCAGGCAGGTAGGTGAAACGCTACTGAATCTATTGGTACTACTTTTATGAGAATCTGACGGGTAGTTTTTTGGGAAAGCGAATTTTTCGAAAAAGCGTCTCAAAAAAAAAAAAAAAAAAAATAAAAAACCAGATCTCATCTGGAAAAAAAAACGTTTTCATAATACCTGTTTAATAAATCAAACTAGGGGCCCAGCTGAAAGCTGGAGAGACCTGTTTGATTATTTTAATATTGATTATTTTAAAAATGTTTTAAAATTTCAGGTTTCTCAAGTCGATAGCGCCCTTCCTACGCAAAAAAAAAGTGAAAGAGAAGCTTATGCATTCATTATGCAAATCTGGATGGGTAGTTTTTGAAGAAATCGAAAAAGTTTGAAAAAATGGCCTAAAAATCGAAAAATTGACTATTCCTAAGTGTATAGCTCTTCCCCTAGATAAATTAGGGACGAGCCGTTTGTGTAGGGGGGGTTCCTACAACCTGGTCTATCGATTAAACCCTTAATCCCAAATCTGGACGGGTAGTTTTTGAGGAAATCGGAGAGATTTGAAAAAAGGCCAAAAAAGTCAAAAAAGTGACTTTTCCTAAGTCTATAGCTCTTCCCCTAGGCAAGTTAAGGACCAACCGCTTGTGCGAGGGAGTTTCCTACAACCTTGTCTATCGATTAAACCCTTAATTCCAAATCTGGATGGGTAGTTTTTGAGGAAATCGATAATTTCCGAAAAAATAGGCAAAAAATCAAAAAAGTGACTTTTCCTAAGTCTATAGCGCTTCCCCTAAGCAAATTAGGGACCAGCCGCTTGGGCAGGGGAGTTTCCTACAACCTTGTCTATCGATTAAACCCTTAATTCCAAATCTGGATGGGTAGTTTTTGAGGAAATCGATAATTTCCGAAAAAATAGGCAAAAAAATCAAGTCTATAGCTCTTCCCCTGAGCATATTAGGGACCAGCCGCTTGTGCAGGGGAGTTTCCTACAACCTGGTCTATCGATTAAACCCTTAATCCCAAATCTGGATGGGTAGTTTTTGAAGAAATCGAAAAAGTTTGAAAAAATGGCCTAAAAACCGAAAAATTGACTATTCCTAAGTGTATAGCTCTTCCCCTAGACAAATTAGGGACAAGCCGTTTGTGTAGGGGGGGTTCCTACAACCTGGTCTATCGATTAAACCCTTAATCTTAAATCTGGACGGCTAGTTTTTGAGGAAATCGGAAAGATTTGAAAAAAGGCCAAAAAAGTCAAAAAAGTGACTTTTCCTAAGTCTATAGCTCTTCCCCTAGGCAAGTTAAGGACGAGCCGCTTGTGCGGGGGAGTTTCCTACAACCTGGTCTATCGATTAAAGCCTTAATTCCAAATCTGGATGGGTAGTTTTTGAGGAAATCGATAATTTCCGAAAAAATAGGCAAAAAATTCAAAAAAGTGACTTTTCCGAAGTCTATAGCTCTTCCCCTAAGCAAATTAGGGACCAGCCGCTTGTGCATGGGAGTTTCCTACAACCTGGTCTATCGATTGAACCCTTAATCCCAAATCTGGACGGGTAGTTTTTGAGGAAATCGAAAATTTCCGAAAAAATGGGCAAAAAGTGAAAAAAGTAACGAGTTGTGAAGCTTTTCTAAGACCGTAGGGGGTGGGGTAGGGTAAAAATTGCCCTAAATTTCATGCAGGCAGGTAGGTGAAACACTACTGAATCCATTGGTACCACTTTTATGAGAATCTGACGGGTAGTTTTTTGGGAAAGCGAATTTTGCGAAAAAGCGTCTAAAAAAAAATAAATAAAATAAAATAAAAAAAAAATAAATAAAATAAAAAAACCAGATCTCATCTGGAAAAAAAAAACGTTTTCATAATACCTGTTTAATAAATCAAACAGGAACAGGAATTTTGAAAAACTTTCGAATTTCTAGAACAATTAATGAGTGGCCTTTTTCGATAAAGTTAAACTAACTTGAAAACTGCATCAAAAGGTAAAACTAATATTTTGCTGGGAAATCTGAAAATTAAATTCCATTTTCGAAAGTAGAAGTCAATCACACTTTTCGTGACCTATTCATTTTTGCTGTTAGTCGTCCTTTCAACAAAGGAAATGAACTGAACTAAAAAAAAAGCAATCCACCAAAACCGCAAGAAGTAAATTTGGGCCTGAATAAATTAAGACTTTTCCTGGAAAAAAACGACTTTTCTTCCTTTCAAATTTGGTTATAAAAAATTCGCATAGTCGGAATATCTGCGCTATTTAAACAGCAACCGGAAGACCTTGTTAACAGTTTGTAAATAAATTTATCAATATTACCTCCTCAAGTATTTCCCATCGTCTGAATGAGATGCCCTGTTTGGCCTGGATCAGAGTTCTAATCTCCTGGGCCAGTTCAGCCCTTCGCCTCTTCTCACTGCTTGTCTGTCCCTCGTACAACTGGGCAATGTCTATCTCTCCAGTGTGAGGGTCAATAGCGGCCTAAAAAAAACCTTGAGCGTTAAATCTCAACCACTACAACTAGCAATCATAATCAGATTCATTTTGAACCATCTCCAACAGAAACAAATCAAAACCGACTTTCCACTAGATACAAATGTCAACTTGATGTATTAAGACAAAAAGCAAAATAATAATAAAATACGGTTTCCAAATAGTCATAACAAGAACGGAATTACAAATTAAGTATTTTTATACAAAACTTCACTTGAGAGAGCGCCATAAGACTAGATTAAGCCTGTTTTCAGGCGTCTCAGAGCGAGAATCAAAAACGGTTTTTGGATACCCTTGAAGATAGGGAAAAGAAAAAGTTGAAATGAGAGGCCAACTTGCTCACAAAAGATGGAAGCGTAAAAGTCTCTTTGTTTGGTACAAATAGAAAGTAGAGATTTACCAGAGCAAAAAAACTTCTAAAAACCGTGCTCAAAAACAATGAAGAAGACAAATTCACATTAATTATAGTTTTACTACAAAACAGCTTATTTATCAGGTCACTATTAGCTTGAATATACTTATCCAAAATTGATGGCTGAAGCTTTTTAGTTCCCGGTTATTAAAACTTTCTCATTTCTGTAAACTTAGGGAACAAAAAAGCAAACTGTTTAAGAGGACACGAGTTCTACCAGCAATCGAGTGCTTTGATGCAAACTTTGTGTATTGCGACAGCTCTCGCTATATTTCTCTAACTTGAATTTTTTTGTGACATTTCTTTGGTAACTGCTTTTTGCAAAATTTCGGATTGGCATTCACCCCGTATTACTTTGCACAAAACTTTTAGCAGTTCTTAAGTATGTTACTCTTTAATAGTGAAAAATTTTATATTGTTGTCTAATGTCTTTGATTGATTCAAATTTCTTTTTGTACCATATGGTTTTTATAAGACTTTCCCCAGCATTTCTAAGTGTTCCAATTTTGTTCTAATTTTCCAACTAGCAAAATTGGCCGAACAAAAGTTTTATATGCCAATAAAAGCTGTTTTTTTATCAAAATTTTTCTCGGTCTATAAAAGAGGCCACATTGCTGGCTTTTTTTACTAAAGAAGTTATGTGGTTTTCGAATGTTGATTTCTATCTGCAAAATATTGCTTTCAAGCAAAGGAATGGTCTCCTCTCTGACATAATTGGGGAAGGTTAAGATTATTTAGATGATCCCTTTATTTTTTGTCTGAGCTGACCTGTTTGAGTGCAGACCTGTACAGTCTGTATGCCTCCTCGACATCGAACAGCGTGACCGTGTCACTGTATCTCATCTTGGCCATGGACTCCGCCAGTCTGATCAGACTCTCCAGCTGTCTAGGGTAGGCTGTGATCATGCCCCTCTCACTCCCCAGTTTACGCATCTCAACGTAGATCTCCACAAGTCTAAATAAATTAAGAACATCGAGATGGGAAGATTAACTAAAAACGGCATTTTCCGTGATGACTTTAAAAAAGACGTTTTTGTACGATTAGCCGAGTAGAGCCTGCGTGCAAAACTGCTTTATCTCTGCACTTGAGGCGTCACTTGACCAACTAAGCATTTGACTTTCTACCAAGAGTATTTTTTGCTATACTTGGAAGGTAATTAATTATATATTTATTATTATGATTATTACTTCATGTTGAGATGCAGAAATTGTTCAGAACAAAATCTAAACTATTAAACTATTCAAAACTATAATCTCGGCGCCTTTCCTAATCAATCAAACCCCCAGAGGCTCAATCGCGGGGTTAAATATTTAAGGTTACCTAAGCTATGGCTATCTAACAAGATCTCCATGGTGCATATTTTTTATAAGGGAAACGCTAATACGAAATTTTCAAAATTATCTAGAAAATGAAAAGCAAGAAACATCTCGATGCCTTTCAAAAAAAGACTTTCCATTACTCAGAACTAGAAAAAAAACACGAAAAACCTTCACTAACTACACTCTTTACTTTCAACTACCCCTTACTTGAAACGGCTGTTTGCCTTTATGGCTTCCATATTACCCATCCTTTGAATTTGTTTCTTGAAAAACCAGTTCCATTGAAATTTGCATGTTGAACAGATTAATCAAGCATCGGTACATCACGCATTTAGCAATAATAACACGAAATAACAAAATGACTATAATAACAAAATAACTATGAAAGAAGAAAACTATAATATAAGGGAATGAGAGAAAATAGCCGTGCTTACCTTTCACTAGCTGACTCATCCAATCTAGGTGCATAATTCTGTTTCCCATATGCAATATAGTCTCTCAGCACATTCAGATCGAACAACTCCTCCTCCTGCAGCTCCTCTCCTTGTGCGTGGTAGAGTGAGATCAAATGGTTGGCCAACATCTTATCGTACTCTTCATTCTGGGGGTCAATGATCAGGAAGATCAGGTCAAATCTGGAACCAATCATTTTTGCTTACAAAAAGTTGATCTACTAAAGAATATCCATGCCTATAAATAAAGACAGTAAATTAGCACTAAACCTTTCTATTGAGAATTCCAATTTTGCTGCATCCCTATTGGTCGAAAAATTGACTAACATAAATCTACTTAACAATCTCCCTCCTTTCTTGAAGGGGAAGATTGTAAAGTAGATCCCAAAAAGTTACAGCCAACTCTACAAAAATGAATCTTCCGGTGAATGAATCAAGAATAGACAATAAGGACATTCAGCATACTTCCTCTTACGTTAGGGGGTAGGAAATTTGGTCCGCACAGTCAGACTATTCATGTTTGACTGACTATTCATACAAAATCAACCTATTTGATAGAATCGATACAGCTTAAATATATTTCCTAACAAGGATTTGAATTAACTTCTAGGTAGTATTTGTTACCAACAAATTTAATCTACTTTGAAATATGTACCTGGACAAGAGTGTATGTGGCAGTTGTACATTCTCCACTATGCTCTTGTGGTGGTTCCACTGACTGTCCACTGGATTAGCCGCAGCCAGGATAGACGCCCGCGCAGTCAGGGTACAGATAATGCCGGCCTAATGATTAGATACACTTCGTTCATATCAAATTTCACAGCAGCTGCACCACGTGGCCAAATATTTTACACAGGCTAAGCGGAGCTTCCATTCGCTGGTGATGCAGTAAATTCGAAGTTGAGAAAAAAAAGTTGTTGGAAAATATCAGCAGAAAAAATTATACAAGCAACCAAATCAGTTTGCATCTAACTGACGTTTCAAACTTGGCTGCAAAAATTACTCAGAAAACAATCAAGGAAGCCATTTGTAAATCACTCAGAATGATGAAAAACCGAACATATCCAAGACAAAGATTTATGAAAACCGCTCAAACTCCAGATTTTAGCAGCCCCGAAACATCAACAAGGAAAGAATCTTCAAAAAAAACAAGCTGATTACTATTTTAAAAAAGCTTTAAGACAATAACATAAAATTTTGAAGAAATATGCATCCGACAACAAAAGCCGATTTTCAATCCGAAGAAGAAAATTTCGATCAGAAAAAAAAACATCTTAAAAAAACTACGAGTTGAAAGAAAACTAATGCAAAGTACAAAATGTGCACTTTGCGCTTTTTTTTTCAAATAAAACAGAAGATCATGACTTTAAAAGGTTAAATAGTTTTGAGGTAATTAAATTATGCAGAACCAGAGGGAAAAAACACAAATAGCCAACAGACAGTTGGAAAAAAGTAATGAACGCAAGTAAACCCAAAAAACACAATGAGTTCGTTGAAAAATCTCAATTTTTGAACTTCAAAGAAAAAAATACATGCCATTTAAGCTCTTTTAATTTCTAGAACAATTTATGATTGGAGCTTTTTGATAACATTAACCTATCTTGAGAAAACTGGATCAATAGTTGAAGTTTTTATTTCGCCGGAAATCTAAATAGTTAATTCCACTTTTTAACAAGAAATTGCTCACGCTTTTTCGCGCCATTTACACGTTTGTATTTGGAGAATGCTATTTATATTCAGCAGATGAATTTCATTTGAACTCAAAATTTGCATATATACTTGCCTTCATAAATGCAAAAATTTTTGTGAATGCACATGTAGTTATTAGAGCATTTTAAGACTTTCCTGAAAAAAAAATAATCAAGACCTATATAAGAGTCTTCACTACGTTCAATAATCTAACTGAAATCTTCTCAAAATTTTGAAATGGAAAGGCTCTATTTTTTCCTGATTTGATCGCACGTCCAAAATTCCAGAGTTTTCACAAAAAAATGAGAGCAATAAAACCAATATAAAAAACTGTTGTTGACAAAAACAGATTTGGAGAAGCGCGCTAAACCTAATGAGCTGAATTACATGCATCAAAAAGTATATGATTAACATGTGTCTGTACAAAACAGTCCAAAACAAAGCAGTCCTGTAGAAAAAAAATCCGAAAAACCATATCAAAGTCCAAAAAGGAGTCCCATACAAAATAGTCCGAAAAACATCCCCATTGATAGAAGTGATAATTGTTCCACAAAAAAATAAGACAACTTCGCACGGATTAAAAAAATTTTAGTTCAACTTAAGCCAGATGATAACTGGTAGCATAGCAAAGAACGTATAACTACCTAGATAACAGCAGCGTCCACTCATCAAAAGCATCAATTCGCAAACAAAATACAAACAAAAATGGACTCTTGATTTATACCAGTTCAAAACATACAAGTTGCTCAATTTTTCATGGCACTGTGCACAAAAGACAAATTTTTCATGACACTGTGCACAAAACAGATGCAAGGGACGTATGCGTACGAAAGAGGTCCGTGTTGAGATCGTTCAAGATCACTGACACTACTTCAATCCGCTGATAACGAAAAATATAAGTTCAGGAAAACGCTTGAAGACCGAGCAGCAGTTTCGGTTGTAACACCACGGCAATTTCTGAAGCCTAGCGTGAGTTAACAGAGAAACAGCTGTTCGTTTATCAAGTTACTCTGCTAACCCACAAGTTGTAAATGGAATTCGCCGCGAAAATAGACCTAAGGTGGCAGAGCCAACTTCGCTGACTGGCTTTGAATTAGAAACGATGAAAAATGAAAATCAGTTTATTGTGCTGGCCGCGTTAACTTGGCTAGACATCGATTATTAGATTAATGGTTCTGCGATGGAACGTGTTCGACTACTCCGAATATGATTTAGCAAAATTATACTAAACACGCATAGGATGTTGAAGGATGTTTTGTACCTCTCGTTTACGCTCTGTTTCACGACAAAAAGGAATCAACTTTTGTCGCCTCCTCAATGTTTTAAAAGCCGAGTCTCCAAAACGGGTTACAATTGGTTTTGAAGCTGTGCGTTACAATCACAGCTACCCATTCGAGCGCTCAAATTCAGTTTTTCTTCCACATGAGCCAAAGCGTCTGGTGACATGTACTGTCGTCAGGCAACACTTACAATTACAACAATTGACTTAATTTCGTGAGCTTTTTTAAATTCTTCTGTCAACAGCATTTCTGCCCGTACAAAACGTCCCCCCTGCGTTCGAGCTTAAGGTCTGGCATTCAAAGAAAGTCAACCGAATTTCAACTGTATCGAGGAAACCTATATTGGTAGACTGAGGTCTCCTTGCACCAACAACGCTGTAGAAGGTTGAAACAGCAATTCTGTTATGCTAGTCAACAGCAAGCACGCACCTATTTCCAGAGCTCATCGAGAAGTTCAAAGACGAACAAAAAAATTCCGAGACTACAAGGCAAAATGCGCTCAGGAAAGAAAGTAGCCAGACCAACAAAAAGATGCAAAAAACAAGACTAAAACTTAATGACTGTGATTACGTCATATCAAACTAACGATATCATTGTGTTTCTGAGGGGGTGTAGTCATAATATCAAACTATAAACATGAGTATATTTTCGTTTAAATTTATAAATTATTCAATATTGACAAGCAATAAAACTGTTAAAATTCAATAATTTTTTCTTGATTATTCAAAATTGAGTTAAAGTCTATTTGAAACCAGCAAAATTCTAAATACATGAAAATGTTGTTTTTCCTTTCTCCCTCGTCCAACTCTAAGTTTGAGCCCACTTTTTGTACCCTAGATGAACCCGTTTCATGTTTACACAAATTTTTTTGAGACTTTTCTTGGAAAAATGGAAAAGTTTTTATGCCACCGGGTACTCGATCCTTTAATCTCTAGAGTTTAAGTGATTTGTTTCAACCACTATACAATGCGGCCTTTGATTTTCATCTGGTTCATTTTTGGATGTTTCGGACTGTTTTCTATGCAATATTTTTGTATATGCAGCGATGAGCAAATTCTATCGCTCAGCATGCAGTAGGAAGCGGTTTGGATCGACAATACTTTACAACACAAACTAAAACACAGAGTCGAAGTTGCACTTCGCATACACAAGCAAAAATATGACCGGTAACGCTACTGGGAAAAACTGATTGAGTAAAACTTCGAGTCTACAAAATTTCTTAAGTCACGCACGCCAATTATGACGCCACACGCTTTATTAGGTTTAAAGTGATAAATTTCGCTCCTAGTAACAAATCAATTATGGCAAATAATCTCCCTTTAACCAATTTGGAACGATTTCTATGACGGATTAAATCTCCGCTTACGCGGTAATAGCGCGAATATATCGCGCGTTTATTGTTCCATTGGCCGAAATGGCAATTTTTATACCCCATAACTTTACCAAAAATGATCACAGGTAAAATATCTTGCCAAATGTAAGCTCAGGACAACAAAACCTTTTGAATAATTAAAAAAAAATCCTGTCAAAATAGCTAGTTGAAAAGTCGAAATTTGTCTGAAGAAAAAAAACCACCCCGAGCAGAAATATTCCGTTACTTTCAATATGAAAGTCGGGACAATAATAGCCTGTGTTAAAATCCTTAGCATTGGCTGTACTTGATAGCTGGTTATTTATTCGAATGAACACTTTCAAACTGAAGACAGTTCATCGCAACAATATTTGCGTCGCAACAATATTTGCGTCGCAACAAAATTTGCGACTTAGGTTGGATAAAAAAAGATAGTTCATACTATACCACAAGCATTGCTTGAGTAATCAACAAAAATCAATAGAACTAAATTTTAGGTTGATATTATAAATATTTTTAAAGCAAGTCTGCGAGGCTAATTTGAAAAATTTCATAACTCAATAAACGTTTTTTTAACTGCGAAAAAAAATCTGAAAAAAAATAGCATGTAAAAACGCCCACAAATGAAGCCAAAAGCGACCAAAAAATTTTTCTTTAGTAATAACGCTTCCCTCACACAACATAAAATGCATGTCAAAACTATTCAAACAAAAATTTCAAAACTGTAAAAACGATTACTGTACACGTCAAAATAACATGCATGTAAGAACATCCACGAGGTCACCTTAGTCGATTTATGATTTCTAAATTTTGTTTTGTGAAGTCCGAATTATCACATAGGTAACTATCAAAAATACAGAAAAATGATGTAACTGAAAACATATCATTATCAGACCAGAAATAAACTCGCAGCAACATAATTACAATTCCATAAAATAGCTAACAGAAAGCTGAAAATTTATAAAAAAAATTCAGAAAACCAAAAAAATGATTAAAATGGTATGAACATTTTCAACTTGCGAGTTTAAGAAAAAATATACTTGGTTATTGTTTTTTTTAATTCTCCTGTTTATGAATGGCCCTTTTAAAAAAAAATAAACCAATTGAATAAAACTTGACCACTGGATAACGGTTTCATTCCGCTCAGAAATCTGAAAAAAAACCCACTACCGAAACTAGAAATCAATCACGCACTTTTGCGCCATTTACGCATTTGTAATTCTCGAGCGCAATTTGCGTACCTTTTAGCTAATGTATTTGAATTCAAGTTTTAAAAAATCAAATTTTAAGCTTTTTCCTGAAAAAAAATTATCAAGCCCTATATAAGTTTCTGCACTACGTTCAGTATTTTTAATAAACATCAAATGACCAAATAAAAAAGAGTTCATATATACTTTTGCAATAGAGAGTGTTTGCTGTTCCATCACTTCATGCAAGATGGCTCTCGAACTGTCCGACATTTTGTCGAATTCGTCAATGCAACACACTCCGTTGTCACTCAGAACTAAAATTGAACAACTCATGAAACATTTTTTCAGATTCAGTTTATGATCGTCAGATGATACCTCGTAGACTACTGTAACTTGATTATGCAGACAAAAGAGCTAATCTCTGTTCCTGCGCGGTCAACAACAACAAACTATTCTTACCCAGAGCACCCGTCTGCAACACCAACTGCCCTGTTTCTGGGTCCTTAATCACACTGGCTGTCAACCCAGCAGCACTGGACCCCTTTCCAGAAGTGTACTGTCCTCTGGGCACTAGTTTGTGCACATACTGGAGCAGTTGGGACTTGGAGGTGCCTGGATCTCCACAGAGGAGGATGTTGACTTCGCTACGCGCTGCTGTGCGACCATTCTTGCTCATGTCTGTAATAAAACATAGATACGTGTCCATAATTACGAAGGAAAAAAGATATTCATTTCCTAAGATTATTATTTTGATCATAAGCTTCCGTATTTGTGAGTCATGTTCCTAACTGAGTGATAGTTTTTGTTCTTAAGTGGGCGAACTTGAGAGGGGTGATAAATCTCGGGGTCTCGAATTACTCGAACAAAACAAAAATTCCTATCCTTCGGTACTATTTTAAGACATTGCATTTCAGCCAATTCATCCTAAAATGTTTCTAAGTGCACCTTCGGCACCAATATATACTAATTTCTACGGGGATAGCGCGCCAAAAAAATCCGTCGAACCGTTCCGAAACGGGCCTTTTTGTCCTGCTTTTTTAAATTTGCAGCAAAGCATTGTTTTTTCATAATAGGGCAGGGGCGGATTTAGGGGGGGGGGGGGCGGACGCCCCCCCCCCCCTCAGGGATTCGACCCCCTGCCGACCCAAAGGGTCCCCCCTTTGATGCTTTTTAAGAAATCCATTTTTGGCCGACCGACCCTAAAAATTTTCTAAAGGCGCCTTCGGCGCCAATATATACTAATTTTGAGGGGGGAGCGCGCGCCGAAAAAACGCAATTTTTTGGTCAAAATTTTCCAAAAAAGTGCCTAAAAACGCCTTTTTGACCTGTTTTTTCAAAATTTTGCCTGCGGCGCAAAAAATTTGGCCGAAATAGGGACACAACCGTGCTTTTGGAGAGCTCGAAAAATCAATTTGGTCGACCTAAAAAAAAAAAAGTCGTCAAAATTTTCGAAAATTTTTTGAAAATCCGCCCCCTCCCCTCGAGAAAATCCTAGATCCGCCCCTGTAATAGGGTCTTTAATTTCAGATTTTAAGTTTCCAGTATTCAAAAGGACTTTACCTTTCCTGGTTCCTCCAAACAACTGGCAGAGTATTCCGAACTTGACATCCTCGTTCTCGTAGATACTGGGGGCCAAAGCATTGCACAACTGCGTCTTGAAGTAACCAAATTTCTCTGTCTTGTCCCTACATTTTGAACAATTCATTTACGAACTATTTTTGATAGTCATCTTAATTATCATTATCAGTCATAACCAGGATATAGGATACTTTACGTGGGAAAAAACTAGTGACCGAATTGTTCAACTGTTTATAGTCAAGAACTAATGAACCTTTTGATTAAGCCCTACATGTCTTTTACCTTTACATTTTAAATAAAAAATTTCCTTGGTCTAAAGCAACGTGATGCAATCATAGTGATCATCGAACTACAAACACCTCTTACCTTTCGTACAATTATTTAGTATCAGCAGAATAAAACTTACTCTGAATATCTTTCTCATAAGTTTTACTGACAAAGAACAACGTCCAAAAAATATACTTAACCGTCGACTGCATTTCATGGGAAAACTCAAAGTTCATCTTAAAAGCAACGTGAAGAAATCAGTCAATTTAGACCAGATTAAAATGCATTTATTGGTTGTTAATTTTGACGCATTCGGTCTCTCATGAGAATAGCCAGTACCCCCCCCCCCCCCCCCCCCAAGCTCACCTCATGTTCATGTCATTGAACTGGACTGTCTTTGCAATGCCAGTCAAATACTGAATTCTCTCCTCAGTGAACGCATTCTCGTTCTCTGCACTACGCGAAGCGTGAGTATTCTTCACCTGAAATAAGTTGACACTTTTCATTTTTTGCAAATCATCAATTTCGTTTTCCATATTAATTTTTAAGTATCTTAGACCATAGAAAAACAACATTGAGAAAATTCATAAAATTTTTTTTTAAAAACAGCACTTAAAGTTCAGAACTCTTTTTATGATGAACCACAATTGGCAAAAAAATTATTAACAAGTTGAAGCTGCCTACCTTAAAATGCACGACATCAATGTGTGTCTTAAACACCGCCTTCAAGTTTCTCAGCCTGGGATTCACTCTCATAGGCGTGGCCCTGTATATCCCCGTGACTAGAATCCTGTCTCCTGGCTGAACCATGTCTACTAAGTCCTGGTGGGCATGCAGCATGATGGTACGAGGGGTCTGACCTGCTGGCATGTCGTCCGGCGATTCCTAAAAAATACACTAATCTACATAATTATTTGTCAGGACTCGGAGGCACTAACGAAACCAATCAAGCCCCTCCCGGTATAAATAAAAAGGCATTTTGTCCAAAAAGTTTCAACCCCGACCTAAGAGTTGATAACTAAAAAGTAGACAACTGATATCGTATTTTTGCCAAGATCTTAGGCAATTCTACGTGTTTATTGGCACTAAAATGGGAGTCAAAACTCAAACATTTAATGCTTGGCGACGAACAGTGGAAGCATTCTCCTTGAAATATCGAAAATCAAAAGCGAACGAAAGACGTACAACTAACTGCAATGAATATCGCTATGAAATGCTTCAAATTTTTCAACAAAACATTTGTAGAACCAAGCTCATGAATTAATTAAGTTTTAACGATAGCATAGTTTTTGAAAATGTTAACTAATAAATTCCAACCCACCTGTACTTTGACGATTTGCTTATCATCGAATAGACTCCTGTTGTGAATGAGTGCGAGACAGTGGTTAGTCTGACATCTCTGACACAGAGTGGGTTCAGCAATCCTACCTCTGTCTACATCTACTGTTTCCACGTGACCACACACCACACACTCGAACAGGGCCTGGAAACAAAAAAAAGTATTGAACAATGGAACAAAACTGATAGGATATGCAGAAAAATGGAACAAAATTGATAGGATATGCAGAAAAATGGAACAAAATTGATTGGATATGCAGAAAAAATAGCGCTTAATTGTTGGCAATATTCTTTTCATTTTTCTTGATTTATACTCTTATATGATATTTTCTCACCTGTCGCATCTCTGGTATGATTCCGCTGGTTCGGATCACCATTCCACTCACTGTGATCAACTGGTCAATGTCCTCTGGGTCCAACTCACGCATATGGTTAGTCCTCTCAGGGAAAAAGGGACGAATCATCAGACCTAAACGAGGTCATTTTGTATATACATTTAAAAATCACTATTTTGTATTTCAACTTGTACCTTTAAATTGACATTATACGAACATTTATTTTCTCCAAAACGCAGGAAACATGAGAAAGTAGAAGATGCGTTAACGAAACATATGAAAAAACTTTTTTTATTTTTCAACAAAGGACAAAAGCTCGTAACATGGACAATTATGGACAAAATACATAACCGAAAAGCTCGTACCATTTCAAAACACTTTTATGGCACAGAAGCCAAGCGGAGCTTCGCATCACTTGCGATACAACGCGAGCGTAGCATTGAAAGCTGGGAACAGAAAATGAGGCGGAAAAAAACTAGGAATAGAAATAGTTTAAAAAAATTGGAATGAACGAAAACTTCAATTTCAGAAAAACAGTCACGTAAAACAAATACCAGCAATTAATAAACGTTTATAATTTACCGGGCAGCTACTTTTTCGCCAATATGAGGGTCAACACCCATTGAACTGAAAACAAAAAAAATGCAGTGCTGAGTTGAATTGAAAAATGATTATCCTCTTTTTCCCTGCAAACAACACAAAATAAGTCGATTAAACAAAATTCGAAATCAAACAGGCCAAAAAACAATTTCAAATAAAAGACGTAGCCAACAATCATTTGTAAAAGAGTCAATCAACGCAAGGAAACAGACAACTAACTTGTTTTTTTTATGAAAAATTATAAATTTCAATATGAAAAAATTTTAAGCCTTAAAACTCTTTAATTTTCAGGATACATTTCAAATTGACACTTTTTCGATAGGATTAACTCAATTCGAGAAAAGTGGATCAAAATGTACAGTTTTTTTCCGCTGGGCAATCTGAAAAGACCAAAATAATTTTCAAAATTAGAAGCTGATCGCGCTTTCACGACCTTCACAGTTTTTCTGTTCGATAGTGGAGTGAATAACGAACTGAACTGAAGGTAGTTTTCGATTACAAGGCACTTTACAATCAAACGGAAACTTTTGCAAAGTTCAAAAACCATGTCTGTACAAAACAGTCCAATACAAAACAGTACTGTACATAATAGTCCGAAAAAGCATAGCAAAGTACAAAAAAACAGTCTCATGTAATAGCCCTAAAATAGTCCAAAAACAAACCCATTCATCGCAATGACAATTGTTCCAGAAACTGGTAAGAAGATTTCTCTCGGATTTAAAATATTTCGATTCCAACTAATCCGGATGACAAAAGGCAGAGAAATTGGAACAACCTAGATAACAGCAGCGGCAACTCATTAAAAGCAATAATACGCGAAACAAAGTTAACGCAATTAAAGAAATAGACTCTTTATTTAAACCATGCGAAAACAAACAGGTTGTTCAAGTTGTTTTATTTGCGAACACTTGACAACATTGAATAGAAACGAAATTCACTAACTATCGATGGAATTTATATTTACTAACGAAAATTCTGATTTACTGAGTTTTAATGAGTATGCTTATATCAAGAACCGAACACTGTCAGACAATTCCCTATCCTGCCGCTGCGCACAAAGTAGTTGCAATGGACGCAAGCGTACAAGAGGGGACTCCGTTGAGATCGTTAAAGATCACTACCACTTGTCCGATCCGTTGACATCAAAAAAGTCCAGTAAAACACTTAAAGATCCAGCAGCAGTTTCTGATGTAACGCCAGGGCAGCCTATTTTCGCAGCCCAGCGTGATGTGAACCGAGAAACAGCTGTTCATTTGCCAAGTTATTCTGCCAATCAGCAAGTTGTAAAAAGAGTTCGATGCGAAAAATGACCAAAGATGTCAGTCAATTTCGCTAACTGGCTTTGAATTACCCCTAGCCCTACAAGAGCAGTTCCTTAACCAAAACTCAGGTCCCCAAGATGAAAATTGTGCTCGCCACATTACCTGGGTTAGACCTAAAAACTTTATCAGGTGATTGGTTCTGCGATGCAACGTTTTCGACTGCTTCCAATGTATTCTATCAAACTTATGCAATACAAAATTCACTTGAAGGATGCCTTATTCCACTTGTTTACGCTCTGCTACCCGACAAAAAAAAAACAAATTATTGTCGCCTCCTCATTATTGTTAAAAATTGATTCCCCAAAACGCGTTACAATTGATTTTGAAGTAGCTGTGCGAAACTCAATAATAGCCACCCATCAGAGCGCTCCATTTCAGTTTTTTTCCCATATGATTCAAAGCGTCTGGAGACATGTTCAGTCGCCAGGCAATACTCACAATTACCAAAAGAACCATAATTTTCGCGAGCTTAGTCGAATGCTTCTCGCAACAGCATTTCTGCCCGTAGAGGACATCCCTACTGCTTGATTTTGGTCTGACTATTTGTTCGATCTTTGGTTCTTTGTGCTGTTATTACGCTCAAGTTTGATTTTTCAAAGCCTATATCAATTCTGTCGGCGTCAAAAGATTAAGGTCAAAAAAATTCAAATGGTTTTGGACTGTTTTGTATGGGACTCTTTTGAACTTTTTTTGATGTTTCGGGCTCTTTTGTATATCCACCACAAAAACAACTATTACACGGACGCTATATGGCTTTTTCCACACAAACAATCCTTACCAAAAACAATAGGTGATACCAAGTCTTATATTTCTTTCAAATCACTCTTCAAATCAAAATTTGATCAAAAATTGATAAAACTTTTTTTTGAAAATCTTCCCACCAAGCAGTTATGTTCAGTAAAAATTTATTGTTTTTTTTTGTCTAGCATCGCACTGTCGACAGAAAAAGCTTGCCTCAATAGAAATTGGAATGATTTCTGAACCGGACTTACTCCGTCTTAACCGGACTTACTCCGTCACTTACTCCGTCTTAAACCTATGCTTTTGTCTCAAATGGGTGATTTTCAGAATCCCAAAGATTTGAAAAATTTATCGCAACGCAATATATTTTTGAGCGCAGGTCGATCGATATCTTTCACTTGCAATTACAAAAATTTTAAATCAAAAATGGCTGGTTAAAATTGAAGTTAATCAGCAAAAAAAACCAACTGGAAACGCACAAATACTCCATCTTGTCCTTCAAACCTCTAAATACAGCTGCAGCATCGAATATACGTCAGCGTTAGTCAATATACAAGGAAATAAAAAAAGCAAAAAATGGAAATTGGGTACAGAAACGATTGAATTAGTTTGAGAAAAGTTAAATTATACGCTACACAAGCTTTTACTTGTCGTAAAAAAATCAACTTCGCATTAAAAAACATTGATAGACAGTTGCTGTGCCCGATGCAACAAGTATAATTCGAAAATAAAACAAAAATCTTTACAAAATTTTTGCCAACTTTCAAAATGTTCGGAACACGAATCACTTTTACTATGGCTTTAATACAACAGTTCAATCATTACCATAGTGCCTTTATTTGTGGTAGGCCAAATCGTGGAGAAAAAAAAACAGGCTATTCCATAATTCGTTACCTTCACTTCTTGATGTGACTGGAACAACAAAAACCCTTAACATTCCGACTGCCCTGTCAGTATCTGAGGTAGTTTTTGCAACAAAAAATGAATAACATCGTCAACAGACAGGCGGTTTGAAAGAAATTAACGAAAGCAAGAAACTCGAGTTGCTAAAATTTTTCGAAACATTTTCAACATCTTGCATGATAGACATTTTTGATAAAACCAATCCAATTTGAGAAAAGGTACATATTTTTTACTCCGCTAGAAAATTTAGAAACAAAATTTGAGTGTGAACAGAACTTCATGTTTCTTGAATAAGAAAAATCACACGACCTCAATAAATAAGTGATAGATAACTTCATTGTTTCATGAACAGATTTTGAAGCATTTAACTTTATTATTCCAACATGAGATTCTCGCGCAATTAACTTGAATTCTAATTAACCTTCACTCATTTTCTCGACCATATCTGGAAAATGCTTGAAGAAGAAATCAGTCAGAGCCAGGTCGAAAGCCGGTATGATTTCCTGTGGGTTACAAGCCAGTTGTCGACCCAAAGTGGAGTCAAAAAGAGCCAAATGGTTGCAATTAACATCCAGACACATTTGTTCCAGTTTGGCCATTTCGGTCATTTTCTGGACGTACAAGGGCTCCGTAGGATGGTACCTGTTAAAAAAATTTCATGAACTATTAACGGATTGTGAATACTGAAGAAGAGAAACTCTTCTTCTCTAAGCTCTAGAAGGAAGAGAAACATCCATCAACTAAGCTTTTACCGTATGCGTATTTTGTTGACGTAGAAAAATACACGCCATATGCGGGCAGAGTCGCTGATGACTATTTTGTAAGAGACCACAGTAAAAATATGAATTAAGCCCAACCCGGTTTTATTTTATTAGTCGCCTGTCCTGCTCAATGCAGGACTAACCGTTGCGGAGGGTGATGTCATCCATTTCGTAGCAGCCGATCACACCTTGAGGAGGCGGATGACACTGAGACCCCTCCATCCGTGACCGAAGTGGGATTCAAACGCACGACCCTTGTGTTGAGAGACGCGTGCCTTACCCCACATGACCACGGCCGCTCACACGCAACCCGGTACAGTCTTTTAGTTGAAATATTGATAATTTGTCTACTCTTTCGTTGGAATCTTAAAACTATTACTATTAAAATTCACTTTTCTCCACAAAAATCTCATTTTAAGCACTAAGCACGGGTTCAACGGTGATCATGCTGTTTCATTATAAAAGAAGGTTTACAAAATTTTAAGTAGCCCGAGCCTTCGTAACTCTAGTCCCGACAAGTTGAAGCATATTTATTGACCAATGCGTCTACATACAGTTGCCTCCATCGAACACACACTTATTGATTGCTATGTTTAACTATAGTGCCCACTCTTAGCACGAAAAACAATTAATCACCCATCAGTCTCATAGTTGAGACTCCCGTCGCAGAAGGTCCTAATGAACTTCGTGAACTTCCTCCTCGCTTCCGAGATCACAATATCAGTTCCCCAGATTGCCAACTGAGCATCATGAGGAGCTGCACTGTCACTTGTCGACATGTAGCCACCTAAGCGCACAAACTGCATGAAACCATGTTAACAGTGCCAAATAATTGTTAAATTTCACACAGAAGTAAAGATTATCAATTAAGTTTGAAGAAGCCGTCAGGTACACATTTACTTGAAATGACCTCTTGAAATCTGTCCTTAAAATGAAAATCACAAGTTGATAAATGCGAAACATAAGACTTTAAAACATAACTCAAAACCAAAATAAAGGAAAAATCATTTCGCTTATTAAGACTTAACAAATCTCAAATCATTTTGCGTCGGTATTTGATTGATGAAGCAAATCTCCAGCAATTGGGTCATTCGTTTCAGAAAAAAGTTTGATAACTATTAACCTCCTCTGGAACTAGGTAGTCCGCGATCACTGCTCGGCGGGAGATCGGCGACACTAGACCCGAGAGCGTTGCCGCCATGGCCGCCAGCTCCACTCGTGGATCCACTCGGCGCATCAGTCATATCAATTTGACGAGTTCCTTTTCGGGATCCAAGGTCAGCTCGACGCCTCGGAGTACGGTAATCTAGAAAAAAGATAATGCTCTAGTCTTTCTTTTATGGTTTCAAGACTAAAGAATTCGTTAATCATAACTAATCTCGGAGGTAAACAGTACACAAGTGTAGAGGCACAAAAAGGAGAAAAAGTGACAATTCGAAATCACATGTTGACAAAATTAAACGGATTTCGCTTTAGAGATAAATTTCCACGAATATTCATACTTCTCGGAAACTAATTTGGTATTCTGCCAGAAGATCGAGCCCAAAGTTTTCTAATACGAAACGAGGTTGAGTCAAACTATTACTAACCCATGACACTCGGCTCTTCGTTCTCATCATCTGCCATTCCTACTTCCGAGGTGAGACCCGCTCCTCCTGCTCCAGGACTAGTTTGGTATTGGAGAGGAGAGCTGGGAGCAGGCGAGTTGCTGGACATCAAAGCCAGTGATTCGTCCTGCATTTCACCTTCGCCTTGAGTAGCTGAACTAAAATTTAATAAATATATTAAGAAAAAAATGATTAATATATAAATCAATTTGATCAAGTATTAAGGGAGATTGGTACAATTGGGTTTTCATTGAATTAAAAGTTCCTCTTAAAAAAACTCTTTTGAAATTTTATCAAAAAATATACCTATACGCTTCAAATTAGTATCAGCGAACTACATCTTTAGCACAGAAGTTACCGACGCCAGTATCTTGGAAAACTTTTGATATTAATCAGTTTCTGTTTTCGTGCTGTGTATTTAAACGTGGAGTTTGTATGAATACTAAATATTAGTAATTACCCAGGTGCATTAGCTGGCGACCTCTCCTGCAACCTCGGCAGAGGAGCAGGCGAAGACCCTGGATCCGCTTCACTGCCAGCAGTCGAAGCCAGTCGTCTGCTGCTTCTCAGCGGGGTAGTCGGGTTAGACGGCGTCTTACTCGGAGTCGTGTTCTTACTCGTGTTTCGGCCGCTGTTGCTGCCTCCACCTCGTTTGCTTCCTCGGCCTGACATTATAAGTTCAAATCACAAGATCTGAAAAGAATAACATTGCAAAATCAACCTACAAATTCTACTTCATTCAATTTTGAGTATCAAATATCTAGCGCGTGATGAAAACTAAGATTCTGGCTTACATTTCCATCAAGTTCCCTACCTAAACTAATTTAAGAAAAAAAAATCTCTTCTTAACGCCAATGCATGAGTAACTTATAATGCAGGTTGATATAGGTGTTTTAGGATTTATATGAAGGTCAACAACCAAGGCTTAAATGACAATTCAATTACACTCCAAATCTTCATTCTTCAAACAACAAGTACAAGCCAAATTTTCTCTTCATTTTTTAATCATTATCTCCAACTGATAATATTCATGTTTTTTGTACGTTCGATGTTATCTGATACTGAGTAATCAATTAAGTTTTAGCACATCTGTTCTAGAAATTATAGCAACATTTGTATGAGTCAACTATAGCTGGTCTACCTAAAACTATTTACAACAAATCTCATTCAAGAACAATTCCACTTCCTCAATCGGGGTTCGAACTCGCAACCCCTTCTCTACCATCGTTTTCAAACAGTTTTCAAGCTGTTCTGGAAAATACGGAATGAACGAAATGAACAAATTTTTGTTCAACGGTAAACTTGAAACTGCATTTTGAAAACATTCGTGAACATCTTGTTGCTTACGTGAAGACACTAAATGAATCAGAAGCAAACGATTCCACAAATAACTGCTACTTTTCAAGCACTTCAAACTTCTTTCAATAATCGATTTGACTCTGAAGTTGTTCTCAAATCCGTAGCTTTTAAGCAAACCTTCCACATGCATCGCCACGTAGAATAATTTCCGTTTTTGAAAGGTATCGTTAGAAAGTAAAATTTGTGAATCGACAATTCTTCGAACTTTTGAAAGCGTAAACGGCTTGCTGTTAAGTCTACAAAGACACTCATAAGCATAAAAACTGTTCGTTTTCATAATGATTGACTCCAAATAACTGTTGGCCGTTTTTAGATTTATCAAAAAAAGGCTGAATAATTTATAGATGGCAAAAGAGAGGCAAGTTAAGCATTCACTTTGTAAACGTCTTTCAATTTTTGAACAAATTTCTAAAAGCGTATCCAATTCTAATTCTTTAGATTTTCCACTAACGAAATCTGTAAACTTTTGAACTAACAAGAAATAGAATGTTAAATGATCCGGCTCCCGAAATCTATTTAACTTGCCACATTTTGAGAAAATCCACATTAAAATGTCCAAATCATCTTTGGTCTCACAATCAAATATACCTCCGGCAGAAATTGCACAATCAAGAAAAAATTCCGTCAAAGTATCTGAATTGAAATCAGATTGCTGCGCACTTTTACTCAAACTTAGAACAGTTTTCTTCACTACGTGGAAACTACCATTTCGAGCCTCGATCAACAACAAAACTTTCCAAATTTTCAAGTTGTTTGCATTTCCTGGTAGTTGTAACATCAATTTTAGCGCTTTTTTTAAACCATTCCGTTTATCTGGACTGAATTTTGCCTGCAATTTTACTGAAGTTAGATATACATCAAGGAATCTTGCATCAGTTTTTGCGAAATTTGCTATTAATTCGATCAAGTTCATCAACAGCTTCGATAGATTAGGCGGATAATCAAAATCAAAGACTGAATGTCTAGTATGCAAATTAAATAAATCTTCAGTCATTTTAAAATAATTCTCTGAAAGCAGAACCTCAAGGTTAAAATTCTGAGAAATATTTACGAGGAAAAGATAAATCTGTTCAACTAATTTTATTTTCTCAGATGCAGAAAACGGGATCAGATATTTCTTCACAAAACTGAATTCCAGGCTACGCTCGGGGTCTTCCAAATCCTCACTTTCAATTTCAGATTCGTGTACGTGATTGTTTGATTTTCTGACCGGGTTGGTATCATTAACAATACGATAACGTTCTAGAGCAAGCCAGTTTTTCCAAACGGGTAATTCTGGTTTCAGAAACTTTTCAATAATTTCCAAGTTTATACTGCTGTTGGTAGTTTCAGAACGGTCGAAAACTCGCGATTCGAAATCTCTCCAACTTACGTAATTTTGCTCACCAATTTTAGGAATTTGCGAATTGAAGTAAATTTCGAATCTTGACAAATCGCTTTGATATAATTCATTATCATTGCAATCATTGGTTTCCGATTTTTGGTCCCAGAATCTAGGATTGGACAAATTAAATTCAAGCAAAGTTTGAATTAAACAGACGCAATTTTCTGTATGACCAGTATCTAGCAGGAAGTAAAGCATTTGGGCTATAAGTAACAATATTTCGTCTAAACTATCATTAACATCTAAACTGTGAGAAACGAAAGTTCCGACTTTCATACCAATTATATACCTAAAACAGGTGTGAAATGATTGCAAAACGTTTTCAACGTCACTTTTGAAGTTATAAATTAAGAAATCGAAAAATAAACTCCATGCTTGTAAATTATTGGGACAAGAAATCAAAAAAGTTTTCCATTCTTGTTTCACTTCTTCGACGTTAGTTTTCACAAGATGTAATAACGAGAGCCTTCTCATAACTAATTTATAATTACCCGGTAATTTCTGCAACGCGCGTTCTATAACTGCAATTTCCCGTTCGGCTGAGTTTTGTTGATTTAAAGCGTTTTCTTGGAAAAAGTTTGATTTCATTTTTTCATGCGAATTTTGAACTACAATTTGACTCTGTAAATTGCATAATTCAAGCCACGAATTTAAATCTTTTGCATTGTGCGTCACAGCCATGTTTAAGTCTTGTAATTTCTTGGTAAGCTCACCCGAATATTGTTGCAAAACGAGCTCATCTGAATAGCCAAATGGTTTCGTTATTTCTAAATTTTGATCTTTTAGATTAAAATTTATCACTGATGCTGGTATTTTTAATTTCTTGCTCCGATAATACCGAACAAATTTGATTGGCGTAGAATCAATAGCGTACTTCGAATATTTTCCGACGGCGAATTTGAATTTAATTCGTCTTTTGTAGATTGGTACGTCTGCAAAATACATGCAGGATAAACCGATATTAGTTTTATCAGGAATTTTTGCTTCTGTAAATATAGGATTTCTATCTTTTTCATTCAAACTAACAGCTAGTTTCTTCACTTCGCTTAATGCGCGTTTCTGTTTAGTCTTTTTCAGACGCCTTTTGGAAATTTTCCCTGCTTCAGAAATCGAAAGATTTGTTTTAACTTTCGATTCTTTATCGAACTTTCGTGATGATACAAACTTTTTGGCAAAGGGGTTTCTCGATTTTGTTGCTGTTACACGTTCGCTGGAAATAAAATCTTCGGTTTCTGAAGCCCTGTCTAAATACAATTGATCAATGTCATTATTTGATTCTTCTTTAACCTTTAAACTATGTTGTTGGAGCGTGACATTCTCTTTTTTATCCGTAGTTTCATTTTGCTTGGATTTCTTTTGGTTGTTTTGGTCAAGACTCGGAAACGAAGAAAAATCAAACTCAGTCTTTGGTTCGTCTTTCACGTGAGCTGCCTGAGCATATGCTTTGAACATTTTAATCTGAAACAAACCACTCATCATTTCTTTGAATTAAAATGAAAAATGTGAAGCAAAACAAAATTACCGTGTCTTGGACAGAACAGTCTGAGATACATTTTTATAATTATCCTGTCCCATCTATAGTTGTCGAAAAAATGACTTAGAACACTTTGCAGCTCGCCTTTTTAAAGTCCCATATGTAAAATTTTGCAAGCATGTAACATGAAAATAAGAATGTCGCGGGGAACGGGGGTCAAATTTTTGAGAGGGCCAACGTAACTAACGTCAGAACCTAAAAATTTCGACGCACTCGTTAACAGTACAAACAGTCTAAAACCCGATTTTAAAACACAAGCTATCGAACTTTCACTGATAAATTGTGTCCCATAAAGTTCAAAACAGTCCTCGTTTTCGAGAATAAGCGGTAGGAACTTGAGGCACAGCTGCGAACTTATTCAGCTCAACTGCTACTTTAAGGGTTCGCTATCTCTCCAAGAGTCAGGAATCGGTAACACTCGATAAAACTTCTAAAACAGGCTAGATGGAGCTTCTCATCACTTGCGAAACAACCCAAGCCTAGCATTGCAAGCTAGCAAATAGAAAATTGGACAGAAAAAACTAGAACGAAAAAAATCTGAAAAAATTTAAAATCATTTTCAGAAAACCAGCCGAAAATAACAATCAGCATTAAATGAGCTTTTAGTATTTACCGAGCGTCAATTAAGACGTCAATACGTGGGAATACGCCTGTTGAGCCGATAACAAAAAAAGAGCCAAAAAGATTGCTTTAAAAATTTTACCACTGCATAAAACACAACTGACCTGAATTGATTTTTTCAATAAAACGATGATTTTCAATAGAACAAAAACCAAAACCAGTTAAATTTAAAAAAAAATTACCCAAAAAAACGTAGTCTAAATAACAAGATTGCCAATAAAAATAGTAAGTGTTTGAATGAGAAAACCATAGCCAAAAGACAGTTGGAAAAGGGCAATGACCGCAAGGAAACCAACAAATACTGATATGTTTTTTGAAAAAGTTAAGCTATCGAAATTCAAAAAATATATATATGGCATTAAAACTATTTGAATTTCAAGACAATAATGCGCTTCGCAAACACTAGCGAGAACATGATAAAAAAGTTGCTTTATAATAAGCAATCAGAGCAAGTAGAAATAAGACTCGAATAAGTAAAAATTTGGCTACAACACGGATTCGATCTGCGACCTATGGATAAAGAGTCTTACGCACTAACAACTCAGCCACGGACGCTGAATAAATCAGAAACACTCGCCACAAATTAAGCAGAGAACACATGCAAAGAAATTTCCAATGCTACAGATCAAGGTTAAAGCAAAACTCCACTAAATAAAATAACACTTTTAATGAACACTTTCATTTGCAAGGTAGGTTGGAAAAAAGGAAGGTTCGTACTAAAATACTACGCTCGCAAGTGTAAAGAACAACTTATGATTGACACTTTTTTGATGTTAATCCAATTTAAAACA